TCCGGTCGGCCAGCTGCTTCTCCTCGCCTGCTGGTGCAGCAGCGGCGGCAGCGGCGGCCTTCTCCTTCTTCAGGCGCTCCTTCTCGGCCTTGGAATCGACGGCCGGCGCCACGTACAGAACCTCCTCGGCGTCAATGGCGATCTTGTCGGTGTCGGCGACCGTCACGCCAAACAGGGCGGGGCTGTTCTGCACAAAGTCGACGAGGCGCACAATGTTGGGCAGGCCCTCCTTGCCGGTGCGCTGCTCGGGCGTCCACGCCTTGACGACGGGCGCTAGGGACTCGTATACGGCAACATCGGCCTTGGACGGCTTGGTGCCGAGTACGGTAGTGCGGGTGGCCAGGAGGGTGTTGAGCTCGGCGAGGACGGACGGCGTCGAGGCGGCCGAGGCGGCGGTGTCAACCCACTTCTGGATCTCGGTCTCCTCGGCGGGGGTGTAGGTCTGGGAGGCAATGGCCGCCATGATTGGAGATGTGGAGGCGATGGTGGAGGAGAAGAGTGTCGTGGACGTAGAAAAGAAGGATAGTTGTTGTGTTCGCTGTCGATTCGGAACAAAACAAGGCCGCAGGAACGAGAAAGTCGTTGGAGCGGGCGCAGGAAACCGGGAAGGGCTTCGAAGCGCAAAGGGGCGGAAGATGTGTAGGAAGGACAGTTTGGCGGCTGGCGAGCTGTTGCGGTCAGCACAGTTGTCACACGAGGTTCGTGAGGTTATCCAAGGACATACGTTGAGATTCGACAATAGTGTGACAAAACGGGCGGGAAACTTTTTCTAGCGCTAGAATGCCCCGCATTGGGAGCTTTGCTTCACTACGCCTGCCTTCTGGACAGAGGGGCAACACTACACTGGCTTACATAACACGGCCAGGCTCCGTCCCATTTATCTGTCCCTGGCTAGCGCGTGACACCGCGAAAGTCTGGCGCGTTTGTCCTGGCGTTCAGGTGGGTCTTCACGGCTCCTGCCCCTGCTACAGTTTAATTGAAACCGCCAATGATCGGGGAAAGTACGCGTGACGCGCCTTCCTTTTCCCTGATGCACTCAGCTCGACATCGCCACTGCGGATTGCGCCCTTTTTTGGCTTCATGCCTTCCTCGACGATTATTTACTTCGGATTGATTGGAAGACAGTTATTTGTCTCGTTGTCGCATAGAATTTCGTCTTTTTTGGCATATCCGCGATATTCACATGCCGGGCTCTCTTTTCACATTCACATCAGATTTCTCTCAGACTTGCTTTTGAATTGCGTGTTTCACGGGCGTTCACGTCTCGGCGGCTCTCCATTCTGCCCCTTTTATTTTTCACACACCATTCTCTTCTCGCCTTCACATCCATCTCCAAACCATGGCCCGTCATCTCAGCTCTTCATCCGACGTTGAGACCGATTGTTCGAGCCCTGCCAATGTCATGACGAGCCCACCGTCATCACCTCCGGCCCACGAGCCTGTCAAGACCGAGACCGACGATGCCACCGAAGTGACAGACGCTTCGACCGTGACCCTCGCCGACATCTCTTTGGAGGACCAGGCTCTGATCGAGGCCGAGGAGCGCCGCGCTCGCAAGGCCAATGCCGTCGAAGAAGAGCGCCGCCTGGCTGCCGCGCGGCGCAAGAACAAGAAGAAGGCCAACAACAAGGCCGAGCGGGAGGCCAAGGGCCGCGAACTGGACGAGCTTCTTAAGCAGAGCGCGGCCTTTAGCGACATCCTGACCAAAAAGACACAGGTGCTGGGCCGCGTCGGGTCCGGGTTCGACGGCAAGACGCTCGGCGAGCACGACCTACAGATGGCGACGCAGCCGAAGTGCCTGGTGGGCGGCACGATGCGGGACTACCAGCTGGAGGGCCTGACGTGGATGCTCGAGATCTGCCTGCAGAACATGAGCGGTATCCTGGCCGACGAGATGGGCTTGGGCAAGACGGTGCAGACGATCTCGCTCATCGCCCTGTTGAGGGAGCAAGAAAACTACCTGGGCCCGCACCTGATTGTGGCACCGCTGAGCACCCTGAACAACTGGATCAACGAGTTTCAGCACTGGACGCCGTCGATCCCCGTCGTCATGTACCACGGGACACCCCAGCAGCGCAAGGACTTGTTTGCGAACCGGATCCAGAAGCACCTGTCCAAGGGCCGGCCGACGGACCAGTTCCCCGTCGTCTGCACGAGCTATGAAATCATCCTGCGCGACCGCGCCGATCTCTCGAAAATCAACTGGGAGTTTATCATCATCGACGAGGGCCACCGCATGAAGAACTTTGACTCGAAGCTGTTCCGTGAGCTGCAGTCGTTCCGGTCGGCTACGCGGTTTCTGATCACAGGCACGCCCCTGCAGAACAACCTGAAGGAGCTGTGGTCGCTGCTCAATTTTTTGATGCCCAAGATCTTCACGGACTGGGAGGCGTTCAGCAGCTGGTTCGACTTTAGCGAGCTGCAGGACGAGGACACGACGGCCGAGTTCATCGAGGACCGCATTAAGCAGGACCTGGTGAAGAAGATCCACATGGTGCTGCAGCCCCTGCTGCTGCGGCGTGTCAAGGCAGACGTGGCCAGCTACCTGCCCAAGAAGCGCGAGTACATTCTGTATGCGCCCATGACAAAGGAGCAGACGGGACTCTACAACGCCATCAGCGACAAGACTGTCGACACGCGCGCCTACTTGGAGAACAAGGTGGCCGAGCATCTGACGGAAGAGGCTGCCAACCGTACGCCGCCACGGTCATCCAGGCCATCGCGGTCGTCCCGCTCGAGTCGGGCAAGCACAGTTGCTGCTGTCAAGGAAGAGGACACGGGAGAAGAAGAGGAAACAAGGCCCTCCAATGGGCGGGCCAAGTCTTCTCGCTTCAAAACACCACAAGCCAAGGTGGAGTCGATTTCGGTCCCCATTCGGAGCAGCCCGCGTGCTAAGAAGACGGTGGAGACGCCGCCGGCTCCCGCAATCAAGGCGAAAAACGCATTTGCCGTGCTGATGGGCAAGTCAAAGACGAATGTTTCTGCTGCTGCTGGCCCGGTCGCATCCATCGAGACCACACCCCCGGCGGCCACCAAACGGATGACCACAAACAAACGCAAGACGTTGCCAACCACGGACGAGCCTGCCTCAAAGAGCGCCAAGTCAAGCCGCCACTCGACGCCCGGCAGCAGCTTCACGGCAGCCAGCGACGTCTCCGCCCGGGACCTGTCTCGCACCAGGACACGACGCCAGCGCACCTACCACGAGGCTGACACCTCTGACGAGGACAAGATGTCCGACGATGAATTCGAGGCCGCTTTGCGCGACGAATATGCTGCCGCGGATGAAGACGAAGGCAACGAGTCAGGCCTCTCTGGTCTCTCCGGCGAAGAAATCCAGCGTGTGCAGACGCTCGAGTTGGCCAAGCGCGAGATCGCCAACAAGAAGCTCGGCAACCCACTGATGCAGCTGCGGCTCGTCTGCAACAGCCCACACAATTTCTACAACCCCTGGTCATGGTCGTCCGAGAGCGGCGCCGACCGCCCCATCGACGAGTCCATTGTCACCTCGTCCGGCAAGATGCTGTTGCTTGATCGCCTACTGCCCTCGCTCTTCCGCCGCGGCCACAAGGTCTTGATCTTTTCACAGTTCAAGACCCAGCTCGACCTGTTGGAGGCGTACTGTGCCGAGCTGCGCCGGTGGAAGGTCTGCCGCATTGACGGCTCTGTCGCCCATGCCGACCGCCAGGCCCAGATCGACCTGTTCAACCGCAGCCCGCGGTACAAGCTGTTTTTGCTGTCGACGCGCGCCGGCGGCCAGGGCATCAACCTGGCCAGTGCCGACACGGTCATTCTGTTTGACAGCGACTGGAACCCGCAGCAGGACCTGCAGGCGCAGGACCGCGCGCACCGCATCGGCCAGACACGGCCCGTGGTCGTGTACCGGCTGGCGACCAAGGGCACGGTCGAAGAGGACCTGCTGATGAGCGCGGACGCCAAGCGGCGGCTCGAGAAGCTGGTCATTAAGAAGGGCGGGTTCCGCACCATGGACCAGAAGCTCAAGCCGACAAAGGCTGTTGGTGCTTCTGGAGCTTCGGGCGACGACGGTGCCGAAGAGGGCGAGGGCGACGACCTCGACGCAGACGCGCTGCGGTCGCTTCTCCTCAAGGATGGTCAGGTGTACACGGTGTCGGGCGACAGCGACGTCGTTCTGAGCGACCACGACCTGGACGTGCTGTGCGACCGCAGCGACGAGGCCTATGCACAGGCCGCCAGCGGACAGGGCGACGCAGCGGCGTTCAAGGTCATTGAGACGGGCGTGAACGGCATTACCGAATCGTTCAAAACGGCGGCCAAGTAGTGTCGAAGCCAGACATACAGCAGACTTTATTCGAGGCTATATCTATACATTTATATATGTTTGTTACGTTTGCCTGAAACGAAACATATTAATTGAAATTTGGAGAGGAACGTATTATAAGTGTTCATCCTGTAGACGAATGAGTCTTATATAGTCAACACGCTCCTTCCGTTAACGACGAGTGCGAGTCTCGGACTAGACAAAGAATACACGTCAGACTATGTGTACATTAACCTCGACGAGTTCGAGGTTTACAACGACACCCCGAACATAAAGAGCCGGCTACGATCTCTACATTTGCTAACTACAAACAATACCGGAAACGACCTTAACATTATTGGCACAGTCGTATATTCTTCGACGGCATTTTAAGTGAATCCCATTCAGCGAGGCCCCAGTCGATCACTACGGCGTTGAATATAACACTGTCAAGGGCCACATCTCGATTCGGTCGGAGCTTCACCGTGTACAAGCACTTTTACGAGCCATACTTGTGGGTGGCCGATTTGGGCAAGCACTTCATTGACTTTGTCGACAGTGCTATTGACCGCGATCGCGACGTCCGTGTTTCCCACTTCCGCCTTCAGTTTGCCAAGTGGCTCCACAAGACACACGGCAAGTCGACCACAGTCAGAGAATGGAGGAACGCATACGGCGCCGATCGAGACGACTTTACCACCGCTGTTGTGGCCCACAGTGGCTATCTGGCGAAGGAGGTCAGTAGCCTGATGGAAGAGCGGGTGGTGGGTGGCCTGGAGCCAGAAGTCGAGGCAGAGATGACATCACGGTCGACCGCAGTGACAGCGGCAGCAGCGGCAGCAGCACAAAGAACGGTTGCAGCCGAAGCCAGAAGGTCGGCCTCGGCAGTCTCAACGTTATCAGCGTCCTTCTCAGCATCCTTGTCGGTGACCGTCTCAGCAGGCTTCTCAACGGGCTTCTCAACGGGCTTCTCAACTGCCGTCTCGGTCTCCGGGGCAGGCAGCAACTCAGTTTGGCTTTCCTTGTCCTTGAGCTTCGCCTCGTCGGTCTTTTTCTCTTCCTCAGCCTCGGCGGCATCATTCTTCTTATTCTTTTCGGCCTTAGCGTCGTCCTTGTTTCTTTTTTATTTAAGACTCGAATTCACGTCATACAGTCCGAAGAATATAAGCACTCAGCGCCTGCTCTCGGGAGACGGAAAGCGGCCGCCAGACCTGACGTCAGAACACTCGACGGCAGTAACGCATACAGAAAAGACCGACGGCAGCCCGCTGCTCTTGGCGTGTTACTGATTTTGATGTTCCCGTTATTGCCCGATTCGTACCAAGTGTTCATCGCTTAATACGTCCTACTTCTTATGTGTCTTACTGTATCGCCCAGATTAATAACCGTAGAACGCTGAACGCTGTTCCTCGCTTCCTTTTCGATTATTGTATTGCATCATACGTGAAATACGTTGTCCGGCCTCTCTTCAACTTGCTCACAACCTGCCCGCCGTAGGTCGCCCGGCTCCAATCACTCTTTCTCGTCGAGACCGTCTGCCTTGCCTTGTCGCGAAAGAGATACTCGTCTGGCGTGAGCGTGTGCTTCACCCTTCGGACACTGACTTCCACCCAAGCGCTTGCGGGTGCTGTGGAAGCGACAACGGCTGCTCAGGGGGGACCGTGTGCATGCCCGGGGTCGAGGCTGGCTCGAGAGCGTCAACGCCGCGGCCACTGTAGGACGTTTCGCTCTGTATGATGTGTTTACTGACGGTCTCCATCAGCGCTGCAGACTGGCTGTATGCCATGCCCGGGCCCTGTGCGTATTCGGCGGTGCTTGTCTCTTCCATTGCTGCAGCATGGCCATAGGTCGAATAGGAAGAGAGTCCGCTCGGTCCAGCCGCCCCGCTGTCTGTCTCCACTGGCAGCGTGTATTTTTGGTAGGCGTAAGTATTGCCTTGGTCGTACATGCCACCGCCTATGTTGCCTGGTGCCGACGGCTATCCATATGAATCCGAGTCCATCGTCATATACCCCATACTGTCGGCCTTGGCTGGTATCGAAGGCTGGTAGTATGAAAAATCGTTTCTCTGGATGTATTGCTCAGTACTCGTCGCTTCCGTTAAAGCTGGCTGGTCGTGCGTCAAGCTGTGACCCCCTTCCTCGATCGTGTACTGTGGTGTGGGTATGTATATTGGTAACCGGCGCTTTGGTCATCGCCACCAGTCGTGTCGTTTGGGTTGCCGGTGTCGTTGTCGAAACGAAGTTGTCCCGTATCCAAGTCCAACGCCTCCTCCAGAGCACTACGCGGAATCATGTCCTCGAGTTTCGTCACAAGCCTGTTCTCAACGAAAACAGTGGGCAGAATACTCGCGCGCTTGCCGGAAATGATGACCACCGTGCCGTTCCCCGGCATATTTTCGTTTACAGGTACGTTGTATGTGTGCGTCGCCGAGTCGAGATGCATGTCCCGCAGCGTGTCGTACATGATGGCCAGCTGATCGGGAAGAGCCGTCTCGCCCCGAAAGATGGCACACACGATGTGGCTGCTCGAGGGCACGGTGGCAAAGTATCCGTAGCCTGCGCAGTTGTCGTATAGCTCTCGAACTTGACGCATCATCTCCCGCGCATAGTTCTCTCCCGCGAAAAGGTCAGACGCAACTGCTCGGATTTAGGCAGCAGCCCTAAAAAGGCCTGCACATATGCAATTGTTCCTCGGGCGCCAGTAAGATCCGTCGTCACATACATCACATAAACAAACATGAGCACAACGCATTGTGATGTGATTCCGAATATAGGCACGTGTACTTGATGACTAAGCGAAACAAACCTCCGCACCGAAACAATCACGCAACGAACCTCAACCTTCAACATCATGAACACTACACCTAACCCCGCGCACAAACGGGCAGCACCGCCCGCAGTGACGGCAACATGACCAAAACGACGGCGGTCGCTATACCGGTACCGCAACGGAGATTCCTCTACAAAAACTACAAGGACGAGCATATGACTCTTCCAAGCATGGCCCTCGGAAGCAACCGTCTCGATCTCGTCGACGACCTTGTCTCGAAATACCTTGCCTCTGGCCCCGCCACCGGCCTGTCTCGGCGCTCGGTACAATTGCTCCTACCGCTCGTACACGATGCGATCCATGTCGACAACAGCGCGTTTATCGCCAAACTCATGCAGCGCGGCTTCGAAGTGAAGCATTTCTTCCGGGAAGCCGTCGAAAAACATGCCTTACGCTGCCTCACGCTGTTCCTCGAGACTGGATACGATATCAATCAGCCCGAGTGCGACATGAAACCGCCCGTCTGGACCAGGACGACCGTCGACAGTCCAATCACCTTTTGGCTAATCGCCCGCGGCGCCAACCTTAATGCGCACGCGCCCTACCACATTTTCACCCCAATGTCGTTTGCCGCACAGTATGCGCAGGCCGGCCTCGTCCACGCCTACCTGACCGACCCCCGCGGTCTCGTCGACATTGGCACGGGCGACCTACTGCAGTACGCGCTCGACCGCAAAGCCGACGTTCTCCCCGTCCTCTCCATGCTCCTCGACCACGGCGCGCCCATCAACGAGGGCCTCTTTGCGCGCCACCTGGCCTCGCAAAACATGTTCTTTTTCATGCCGCGCGGGCCGCCGCTGCACAAAGCCGCCGAAAAGGGACAGCTCGACGCCGTGCGCCTGCTGCTCGACCGCCACGCCGACGTGACCATCCGCGACACCAAGGGCAAGACGGCGCTGTTTTACGCCGAGAAGGAAGGGCACCGCGAGGTGGCGGAGGTGCTGCGGCAGGCCATGGAGGCGGCCAAGGTGCAGCATTTGTAGGGGCGGAAGGAGTGGGTGGATTGTACGATACGTGACCAGATTGATACCCGAAGCAGAAATCGTATGCAGGGAAGGCTGAGTACATATATTTTTATTCCTATTTTGTCTTCTATTTGCTTTTTCTTTTATGCGCTCGTCATTAAAGCGACAGCAGCTTCGCATTAGACCGACCACGCGCTGTTTAGTCACGAAGAAACAAACACGACGAGGCAGAACAGAATCCAAGGTAAACGAAAACTTAAGCGCAAGTTGCTTTTCTATACTACTAGGAAGCATAACAAAGTACAGCTGGCAGTGGGATAAAAATAAAATTATATATCGTTTTTTTATTCCGTCCTTATTTCCTTTTACCACAGTTCTCCGTGCACAAGATGGATTTGAAAGACTGAAAGAAACGATAGTAGCAGAGAAGGTGTCCATTCAAACACCCAGAGAAACATAGCGAATGCAGCACTTTAAGAGCTTTAAGTATCGACTGGGATGACTGTCGTCTTACAGCGGTATCGCCGGCTTGTCTGTTCAGCAGGCGTCTCCACGACTTCCGAGCACACATTCTCTGGGCGTATCGTAGGTATCGGCGGTTGACGCTTCGCCGCCCCTTTGTTCATCATCACCGTTGAAAAAGGCCGCGGCGTCTTGTGTAGATGTCGTTTTATTACGTTCGTCTAATACATCTTCTCACCTTGAAAATGACGGAGGTAATTCGTTGCCGATGGAATCAAATTCGCACCAGTATTCCACATCCTGTATAAACATGAATAACAGCGATACACTCGTCCCCGAGACGAATACCACTGGCCACACAGTAAGCGACGCCACCAGCCACGTTAAGCGTGATAATAGTACCGGGCAGCGAGCCGTTGACACGCTTAATGGTGCGATAACCGACGTCGATGTAAGCGTGGTATGTGAGACCGTTGACAGCGGCACACCGACGGATGACGCGGCCAAAGACGCAGGACTGCACGCCGGCAGCACGTCGACGCTAGCCGACAAACGCATCGTCGTCACCCGTTGCAAGACGCCGCAACAAAACTTCACTGCCCAAGTTGCTGCGAGTATCCTCAGCGGCCTTCGAACTCGGCCGAGCCACGCCGGGGAAAGTGGTGATGAAGTTGACTTGAGGCTTATCGACATGGTGCTCTGCATTTCTATACCTGGCGTGACTTTATACGTTCGTTAACACGTTTCTAGTGGATGCAGTGTTTCGAATGCAAAGGAGAGGAACTTTGGGCAAGGCGAGGGAAGCGATCGAGAGCATCCAGGCAAGCGGTACTCATGAGGCCCCAGCCTTCAAGTGCGTCCACCACGGACAACGCTGACGAAAGTACTTTACCAGCTTCTCCAGACTCAAGCGCCATTGGCACTGCCACTGCCACTGCCACTGCCACAAGCGAAATACGACGGGAATTGTCTGCTCCGGAACTGGTTTGCTAGATACCGACTGTTGACTTACCTACCATTCTTTCAACGTTTGCACGAGCCATTGAAGCGTTAAGCAGGCAAAAAAGGAACGCGCTATATGAGTATCATTCTACTGCACCCAGCACAGGATGGCCTTGGTGTTTGTTTGGTCAAATCACGACTGGAATACTTGGGTCATCGGTTGAACGTATCGCACAACCTTTTGAAGACGCTTGGTTCGTGAAGGTAACAAGACAAGAGAATGCCAATGTCATACGCAGTTGATCGCATGCTTTTGTCAAAGTTCATAGTTCATGGTGCTTCATGATGCTGCCCTTTTGACGAAACAACGATGCGTATCTTTCCAATAGCCAGACAAGGCTGTCTCATCAATAGGCAGGCAAGGCTGCGAAGGCTAGGCGCGTATGTGACGTAACCGTACAGCGTGCATGGATCCGGCAGCCGCAAACATCTGCCGTAATAAAACTTCATTCTTTTTCGTCACAGCCAGCGGTCAACAGTCCGTTTGCTCCGGCGAATCCCAGACGGGGTAGACGCCTGTGCCAATCAAAAAACATGCGTTTTGTGCAGTTCACCGACCGTGCAGGCCAGGTCGCTGGCATGCACGATGGTCACAGTCTAACCATTGAGACCTCCTTCGACATTTCTTTTTTACCGTGCAACAGACGCAGGGGTTACTCGCCTACCTATCGGCTTTTGAGCATCTCGCCATGCCTTGGAAAATGGACGCCTGGCAATGCAGCGTGCAAGGTGGTCATGCGGGCGGCCACCTGGTCGGTACGCTTCCTGACAAAGGCTCGCTCGCAAGCCATTGGACAGATAGCACCTCGTGCAGTTCGACTTTGCCCACGGCGAGGTAATACTTTTGCAGTCTTCTCCTCGCTGCCTGCGTGGTGGACGAGACGAGGCTGCAAGCCAGAGGACAGAGAAGAAAGGGGCCGACGGCGGTACACTTTACGGCAACCAGGTCGTCGAACGACCCCATCTGCCAGGCAGGGGGATGTAACAAGACTTGTTTACTCTGCTTCCATCTCTCCTCCTACCTTCTCCTTTGTCCTTCGTCTCGACTTTTGACTTTTTATCTGGACTCCCACTACAGTGGAAGCTTGCCATTCTCGCCTCCGGCTAATCCATGCTGTTGCTGCTCGCTCTTCGGTCCCTGCCGCGCTCCTTGCTCTGTGGTCCGGAACGCTGCCTTCTCCCCCCTAATGGGCATTAGATTTTTGTTTTCAACTGGTATTTTTTACGGCCATTTGACTTAAGGGCTAGGACCACCGTATTTTCCTCTCCTTCCCGGCGCCGTGCATTTTTACTCAGCTGGCCACACTGTTACCCAGTCTACCTTGTCCCTGTCTACCTTGTTCCTGCGTCTTCTGTTCTGTTATCATTTGCGTCCGCTTCCTCTTCATCGTCTCTTTCTCCTGTTCTGTCGACTTCATTCGATATCGTGTCAAGTACCTCATCATCTCCTGCCTTTTCGACGCCTACTTCAATATGAACCCCTATTTCACTTTCAACAATACTGCCCTCCCCACACAAATGATCAAGTACGTGTATTCCTTCTCCTGTTTATCATCACACAAACTGACACGGAAGACCGTTCGTCTCCGTTTTAGTTTTGTACGCTGACATCACGACAAGGCGTACCTGGACCTACGAGTCTTGGGACAAAGCACAGAAACATGCAGAACAGCTGAAGTGCATAAAACAGCGGGCGTTCGATACGTTGTGGCAAGTCATCTTTACTGTTCCTACTACGCACCAGTGTTGCGCCCAGGAACGTCCGTAACGCACGAAATATGCAAACTCATCCGCCGTCGAGAGATTCCGTGGACCTCTTATTTTGCTCACCTCGTTTATCTAGTTTGGACCCTGCCTCCTTGACTCCTCCCCCACACGCACCTGTGACTAGAAAACGCTGCCCGTTTGCTTGTGAGACATTTTGTTCCCCAGGAAAGATCCTTATAGCTAGTTGCCAATAGCCATCAGTGGCTGAGAAAGGCGGATAAATAGTAATACAAATACAGTGACTGTTCAAAGGCCTTGTGCTCCAGAAACACATGGCGTAGTGTAAAACACTGGTTTGCAGCTGTTTTTGAATACAAATTTCCAGTTGTATTCAACGTAGCTACCGTGCACTATTTGCGGGCGGCAGGCGTGGGAGCAGCATCGGCGTCGTTCTCGGCGGCGCCAGCATCGTCGGCGGGCGGAGCCGCCTCTTCAGCGGCAGGCGCGGTGGCGTCGTCTGTGGATTCATCCGCCGGCTGCTCGGGGGTTGGGTCCTGAGCCGAGTCATCGACCGGCGTGTCGGTAGGGACGTTGGCCGGGTCGTTGGCAGGGGCGGTATTGTCGGCCGAGTCGTCGCCGCCGTCAGCGCCGTTGGGATCCGTAAAGTCGTTGCCGTCATATCCGTTGGAGCCGTCGTCGCCGTCGTCACCAATGTTGGCGTCTGGGACATCGGCGAAGCCGCCGGGATTGCCTGGATTTCCCGGATAGCCAAAGTTGGCACCGGCAGCACCTCCAACTGCGCCGCCAACGGCACCACCGGCGACGCCTCCGGCCACGGCACCGCCAACGCCGCTACCGCCACGATGGCGACCGTCGCCGTTGCCGCCATTGCCGTTGCCGCCTCGGTTCCCACCGTTGCCGCGCTGGCCGCGGTTGCCGCCTCCATTTCCATTTCCATTCCCACCGCGGTTACCCCCGCTACCTCCGCGGTTGCCGCCGTTGCCGCCACGCCCACCACCGTTACCACCACGGCCTCCTCCACCATTGCCGCCACGACCACCGCCACCACCTCCACCTCCGCCTCCGCGACCTCCACCGCCACCTCCATGGCCGCCGCCGCCACCGCCGCCGCGCTGGCGAGTTTCAAGAACCGGGGATGAGAGAGAAAGCGCACTAGTGGTGGCAACAGGCGCCGCCACGATGCCCTGCAGGGCCGAGGCCGCGGCTAGGAGGGTGATGAGGAAGTTCTGCATTGTGTTCTCTGCCGAGGTGTATAATGTGGTAAGGCTGCCAAAGAGTGCGGTGTGCCTGTAGAAGGGGGCGTACAACAAGAGGTGGCAAGGAGCGGTACCAGAAGCTGTTGAGCCTCCTTATTGTACGAGACGACCGACTTGTATTCAGATATTTATATGTAGACAAGCTCTCACATTGTGGTATCGTCATTTTGGCTGTTTCTGGTGGACTGCGTCAGTCCCAGAGTCCGGACTGTTTATTTTTGACTCGGGTGTAATGCGAGTTGACGTTATTTCGTCGCTAATATCATCCCGCGTGTTGCGTGTCTGGAATCTTTTTTTCTCCGAACTTGGACTCGAACACCAATATCCAATTATTTCTACAGAGCGCAATGACCGAAGGAGGTGTGTAAATAACTTCCTGGTAAGTGTGAATGAAGAAAGGCCATCGCAGGTAGACCAAGAGTCCGTCACGGGATCCGATCAGCGATGTAAAAAAACACAATCATTTCGCTAGGATAATGTTCTGGGGCGCGGAGCTCTGGACGGATTCAATATATCCATTCTCGATGTCCGAGGGTGCAAGCAATTGCATTCCTTTGTCCCGTGTGGAAAGTCTACGCGTGTTCCGGCAGTTCTTCCTCTTCCAGTCTCTGACATTGCGCGCAATGTCGACAAGCAATAATGAAAGGGCCCGAATGACACCCAAGTGGCACCATGACGAGGAAAGGTTATTTTGAACCGGCTGCCAAGGATTGTGAATCAATATATAGACGGCCAAAGAGGACTACTGGTATTCACACCCGTCGAGTCTAGACTCTTGTCGACCAGTACGGGTTGCCGACGAAATAGAGTTGATGTGCTTCATATTCCCGGTAGGCGATATATCGTTTCGTTCTTTATTCTGAGCACATGGCCCTTAATTCATGCTCTTATTGCCCGTCATATATTATAGTCCGTTTTGCCGCCTTCCCCTTGTTTCTCCGCAATGTCCGAACGGCAAGAACAAACCTTATTTTAACCATCTACGAAAAAGTCTTCACGCCAAGAATTCGCTATTATACGGCCATATTTGACGATACTCGCGAATGTTCGCCTAGCAACTCGCCATTCGTGTCGTAACGGGTGCCTTGCTGATGACACCTCACTTCGGCAATTCGTTCTCGTGAGTCTGGCAGATATCGTCGCACAAAAACGGTTGGCCGTACGTCAAGACTATGCAACAGCCTCTTACTTTACGTACGGTTTTCGCCATTATTTATGCGTCTTTTCTTCTTCTTCTTCTTTTTTTTTTTAAAAAAAAAAAGACGCAACATATATTTAAATAAATAAAACGTAGTCAACTAGAAAACATCCATCGAAGCGCTAAGTCTTCTGCGAAATATCGTCAACTACAACGTATAGGCAATCCATTTAAAACAAAATGCTTCGTGAGGAACCCAGTTACCCGTCTTTAACTTGCATTGTTTTTTCCTTGACAGCACGTGGCTTCGGCTAAAAAGTACCGCCTTTGCCTCCAAATGGATAAAACACACGAAAGATGCCTGCAGAGCGAGCGCTGGCGTCGTTCATCCACAGTTTATTTCGTCCAAATGCCCAAGTACAAACCCGGACCCCGGCCTCTCGTCTGCACGGTTCTCGTCGGACAAATGGCATTGTCTAGCTAGGTACCGGAGACGTGCAAAAAGAAAAAAAGAAGAAAGGTCAGAACATTTTGAAGCCTGAGACCCAATTCGTCCCGCATCGTCCCGCCACCGGCGCCGTGGTTGATCCTTCTCCCTGTGCCGGGGGCAAAGTC